AGCATTTTTATTTGTATTTTTCCATTCATAAAAAAATTATTGTAGAAAATTTTTGTGTAGTCCCGAGTCACTAAGAGGTTAATTTACCTTAGTATCGTCTTGTTACTCTTATAAACCTCCTCTAAGGGCGGATGACGATCGTTTCGGCGACTATGTTGCCTTCTTCAGATCCTAGTCAACTGATCTGACCATATATTAGTATAAAATCAAATTTCCCAGCACCCAGCACATCTTATCAACACCAATCACAGTTTAATAAATAAACACCAACATAAAACCTCTGCATTATTGCAACCAAGGCCACTATATATATGCTATAAAACTTCATAGCGGTTTTGTGTCGGAAACTGGAACCCATCTGGAGACTTTGGTAGCTGATTTTCTTTCATTAACTTTGTTTTTCTACCGTCTTGGACACTTAACCAAGAGTTTTGATCTTGTCTCTTGTATCAAACACAAGATAGAATAGAAACATAATAGAAACAGGCTATTATATTATTCTAGTACCTAAGGAATATCCCTGTAAATTTTCATGCCAATTGGTTCAGTAGTTTTCTAATTATGAACGCTGTAACTAACACAACTTTCTTTTATATATTAAGATATATATATATATTATGTATGTTCGTGTGTGCATATTTAATGTTTCCCCGACATCGTCATGAGTGAAGCTTGATGTTCTTGGCTAGGATCTGAAGGGGTGAGGTTCATAGTGTCCAAAATTCACAAACTCCCAACGGTTGAAATATTAAATAAACAGTGTGCGTTTCATAGTGTCCAAATTACATAAACTCCAAAACTATAACTTTCAAATAATCGCCGTTTCACAATGTCCAAATTTCACAAACTCCAACAGTGATTTCACAATGTCCAACGTTAATATATTAAGTAAACAGAACGGTTCATAATGTCCAAATTTCATAAACTCCAAAAATATAACTTTCAAATACTTACCGTTCCACAACCTCCAAATTTCACAAACTCCAACGATTATAATATTAAATAAACACAGGGGTTCATAATCTCCAAATTTCATAAGCTCCAGTCTCGGCCAGAAGTCGCTGCAGAGGTTGCCGTGGTTCGGTATGTAGGCGCTACTTGTTCTAGTGTTGTAGCCGCGCGTCACAAAATAGTTGGTCCGTAGATACGTTGTTAAAAGTGTAAAGTATTGGTACTAATACCCCTTCTACAGCAAACCTGCAGAGTAATCGAATTTCAATTTTCCTTATTTGATTTACACTATCAATGAAGTTATGTATCAATGAAGTTATTAGTTTGTATATTGCAGCCATGGATAATTATAGCCTCCTTCATATAATCGTACTTCCCAACTAATATTATAAATGTGAAATTTTGTGTGTTTTTTGTCTGTTTGAAGTCCAATCAGGCATTAACTACAGGTCGGATAGGTCTTAAATTTGGCAATACAATTGTTAATTCCGCCCCCCAGGGTCTCAAATTTTCAATGCTTATGTAGTTTAAATTCTTATGGAAGCAGTATTTTACATATAAACTGTATCATAAGGATCAGCAGTTGACTTTTAAATTCAGTAGATCAACAAATAGCTGATAGCAATATTCCACAAATATTAGAACAGAAACAGTAGATTATCTAATGACGACACTGGATTCAATCTTATACTATGAGCCTTATCTTGTTTGGACGTTTATTGACAGTTCCATTTTGAATAATAAAATAAACATGTCTGCATTTGGCCAATCCAACTACATTAACAGATGAAGTTCTGTTTGAAATGTTCTAAGCTTACTTGGGATAAAGCTTCGTCTTCGATCACTTTCCGAATGATTAAAAAAATTATGAACGTGTAACACATCGGTTAAGCTGGAACCAATATGAGTTAATACAACTTCTGTATTTATTTTTGTTCACATTTAATAAAACCAAAATAAAGTCGAATTGCAATTTATTTAAGTCAATCTGTAAATTATGTTTTGTAAAAGAAATTAAATTGTTTTGCTGAGTGTTTTCATCTAGTTGGCTAGTTAGGCTAAACGCACACCGTTATTTTATCGGCCAATTAAAAAATGGACCATAAATAAATCGCCGGTGATTTATGTCTAGGTGTGCACATGGCAATTTTTTAGTCGAGAATTGAATTTTTTCGAGTGGGTTGTTAAGCTATCCTAAAATTGACATCGTTGAATTAACCTGTGTTTGTGCTCTTCTAATTAGATCAATGAAAAAAAAGAAGTCGTTGTAAATATTGGATTAGCATTGCAAGTAACAGACTTTTAAATGGGGTGTTTTATAAACTGTGAAGTCTTGTTTACGTAATACCAGGTAAAAGGTTACTATGAATATCTGTTGAAAGTTTTGATAAACTGTTACCATTAGTTGGACAACTGAATTTTGGACAATACTGAAGCGAGGACATGTTTTTATAGCCAAAGACACTCGCGCCAATTCAATTAATACAGAAAAATTATTTAAATCTTGATCGGTACTCTAATTTTCTCGGAGTTTTTTTGTAAATAAAATGTATACAATTCTAAGCTCTCCACTGAAAAGGCAAATCCAAATATAAATTATTGCCTTGTCAAAATTTTAACATTATTGAACTAGCCACATTAAGTTGCAAAGAGAAAACGAGACTGCTGTCAAGTAAAAAAGTATAAATACTATAAAGTAGAGTTTGAGCTATTATTGAAACGTGACCAGTATACTTACAATATGATGTATAAGTTAAATCCTATTTATAAACATTTATTTCTGCGTTTATGTATATCATTTTCTACCTTTTTATGTAGTTTCAACTCATCCTTTCAGCGGGTTGAATGAATAAAGTAGAAGGTTTTCGGCACTTTTCTAACAATGGGCTATTTTGGCATTTTATAAAAATAAAAATAAAAACTACTGATGTCATCATGAGATTTTTACAGCTATTAGAAAACATACTTATAAAACATATTTATAAGTTTTAACATTTTTCATCGGTAAAAAAATCTCTTATGATATTTGTAATGGTTTTTTGATTCAGAGATGGAACAGTTAAGAAACTCAGCTGAAAGATTAAATTAAAGCTATTAAAAATATATAATTGTAAATTTGATTTGCACATTATGTGTTTACAAGCTGCTATATACCCGTGCTTTGCAACGGGAAGAAAATGTGACCTAGAGAGCTAAAGTGGTGGTGCTGATGCGTGTTTTAAAATACAGCAACTCTATGATTTAGTTTGAAAATATAAACTGATTTAAAAGCGTAAAGCTACTTACTTTCAAACCCCTACTTTTGATATTAATAGATCCATAAGAATATGACAACACACCTTAGCGTAGCAATAGCATCAATTGCTTCATATTGATGCTTCATGAATGACATGTTTTACCATAATTCTTCAATTTTAGTCAAGCCTCTTCACATGTCTTACTACAGTATAAAAATTGAAAAATGAAACTTTGAGCAATACTTTACAAAACATATACAACCTCACTTTAAACCCAAACATAAACCTCCCCAATCTACATAAAGCGTCACAAATATCTTTTTAGAGTAAATAAACAAACACCAGTTCATTGTACAGACCAGCTGTTTCATTAACTAAATTAAATTAAATCATTCAAACATTGGAAGCATGCTAGGCGTAGCTCTTTGGAAATCAGCCTGTGGGGCAGAGCCCTTAAGAAATTCGTCCATACCAATACTTTTCGGCAAATCTACACACTCTAAGCTTCATTTTGATGTGCCATATGCCTATATTTTTATTTGGTAAATGACCTTAACCATTTACATAAAATTTGATTGTATCACTTTAATAATATAATAGATGTTACACAGCTAAATGTTCTTCAATAATTAAAATGTACTGTGGAGTCAATCTCCACAACACAGCACTCTTTGAATGTCCCGCCAATCTCAACCCCTACCGCCGCTCGCGCATGCGCAGGGGGCAGACCGGGAAGACGAGTGAGGAAAACGTCTGTCGTGCACCTGACTTCGGACATCATGGAAGGCTAAGTTCTTTTGGGAAATGGGGGGACGCCCCCTTAAGGTATTGTGTCGTAGTAGTAGAATTAAATAATATGTAATTTCAGATCATCACATCAAATCCAATATATCATTCATTGCATCATTAATTATCAGTCATTTATTCAGATGTTAGTTCACGTTGTGTCCAGTCAACTTATATATTAGTTATATTTCATATGTTGAACCAAGTACATATTTCTCAGATATAAATGCATTAATTAATCAAACAATCATCAAAGCTGGCTCTTGGGGCCTGTGAATTGCGGTAAATTGTCTCCTCTGTTTTATATAATGTGTTCAGTTTACGTTTCCAACAAAAACGATTTGGTCTGGAATTTGATTCACATGACCAGATCACCAAAATGTGGCACCATTATGCCACAGTACATATAATCAGTAGTTGAGCGCCGGCGGACGGTGCCTGCTATCTGACCGTGGCAAGCACTGTAGAGACTTCTGGCCCAGACTGTACCGTTGGAGGTTATGAAATTTGGACATTATGAACCACTCTGTTTGTTTGGTAAACGTTGGAGTTTTTGAAATTTTGACATTGTGAAACGGTGATTATTTGAAAGTTATAGATTTAGAGCATATGAAATTTGGACATTATAAATAGCTCTGTTTATTTAATATATTAACGTTGGACTTTGTGAAATAATCCTTGGAGTTTGTGAAATTTGGACATTGTGAAACAGTGATTATTTGAATGTTATAGTTTTGGAGCTTATGAAATTTGGACATTATGAAACACTTATGGGTTTAATATTTTAAGCGTTGGAGTTTGTGAAATTTGGAGATTATGAAACGCTTCCATCTGAAGACAGCGGCATAGTCGCCGAAACGGTCGTCATCCGCCCTTAGAGGAGGTATATAAGAGTCAACAAGATGATACTAAGGTAAATTAACCTCTTAGAACATTCTCTTCAAGTAAAAACAATATTAGAGCTAAAACTTGTAAAAATTAAATAAAAATGGAATATTGCTTACAATAACTCATGTTGTTACAAACCTTACTTTCAACAAGACTTTTACTGAGGGTCTGAACTCTTTTCCAGAGCATGTTGCAGAGTGTTGATAGGCTGAAGGCCATTGGTGGGTTAATGATAGCTGGCAAAGTGTAATGAAACTCTTCATTACAGTTCACATACAGAATGAGAGCCTTCAGGTACCTGTTGATGCTGAAAATGTTTGGTCATATTATTAAAGAGTAGTGATGGGGCAACAACTGATTTCAACCATGTTTCATCCGATGGTTTTGCTTTCATCCGATAGTCTTCAGATGGATGATTCATCCGATGGTTTTTAGTGTAGTGGGGTGGGGAGCGTCCGTGCTGCTTCGGGAGACAAATAAAACTATCCGACTAGAGAATGAATGAATAAACCATCAGTTCGCACGCCTGATCAGATAGATAGTTTTGGTATTGTGGCATTTTGCGTTCCTGTCCAGCGCCATGTTTCGGAGAATTTACCCAAGCATGAATAAATAGATAAAAATTTAGTTTTTTTACATGATTAAAGAAGTAACATGTACTGTTAGAAAATTACTTCCCTCTCCTATGTTTTATGTTTATAATAAATATATTTATTAATTTTTCATTCTTTGAAATGATTTAAAATAAATATTTTATTTTTTATTAAGGTTTGTTATTCACTATTTAAGGAGACAATTTCCATGTTTCTAAGTTGCTTAGTTATCTAATTATTTAATCTTTTGATTTGATGTGTCTAAATTATGACCACTCTGTATATTGGATATTTATTACTCATGTAATAATTTTACATCTAAAAGGTATGAAGGCTGTTTGTACAAATTAAAACAGTCTTCATAATTTAAACTACGTTTAATTAATAATATCTGCCCGAATGCATTTAAGTTACTGTCGTGCTGAGCTGAGCATGAGCAGATGATTTATCTGAGAATGGATGGATAAATAACCAATTTAATACCCTTGTGTAGTAGATAAATAAGGTAAACAAATTAACTCATCGGGCAAATAAACACATATTCATTTCACCATTCAATAAAGAACAGTTTGGTTGGGAAGTGACTGTGTTATCAAGCACCCTCACATGTGCCGAGCCAGTATGTCCTAAAAGCACTGCCCTCCTACTCTCTCACTCAAGGGGAAAAAGTGTGCATCCCAACTGGGCACTCCCTGATCCGACTCTTCCTTCAGGACACTTCCTCCCAAAGGATCAGGGTGCTAAACTGGCAGGCTTCTTTACTATATCTTTCATTTTTCGCTATTTTAATACTACTCTCTCGCTGTCGAGTCCCTTGACTCAAAAATCTGCCTCCAACTATTCTTCTCTCAACTTTATCATCATTTCCCTTTCTAATCATCCCAAGTCAAGGTGGAACAGCATACGCCAAGGACTGCATGGTCAAGGGGGAGCTTGGCCACAAGTATGCGGACTCTGGATACCATTACCAGGCGACCTCCAGTTTAAAGCAGCCTTCTCCGGATAAGCGGGGCTCTGCCCGGGGCGACCCACAATTCCCTAGCTACTCGTGGGACCAACATGGACAACAAATTCAACCGGGAAACGGAAAAAAAACAAGATGTAAGTATGGAGGTAGAGGAGGGGACAACAACTCCCCAGCAGATGGAGACATCTGAGGTGGCCACAGGGTCCCAAGATGTCATCCCACAAGAACCTAGCATTTCCTCCCAGGAGGTGTCCGCACCTCAGAGGGGATGCAATAACACTATCAGAGGAGGAAGGCCTCCTCAATGACGATGACTCCGAAAATGTCAAGGAGTTAGAGGTAGAAGCTGGAAAGCTCAAGCTCACAACAAGGAGACCTTGGCTAAAGATGAGCGGTTCCAGAACCAAGAGGTTCCTCTGGCTCATGAGGAAGGGATGCTCAAGGCAGGAAGCCTATGAGAAGAGCCTCGAGCCACTAGGGAGGAATGATAACGAAGGGGAGACCAGCAGTAGGCCTAAAAGACCTAGGCAGGACACAAAAACCCCCGAAGAAGCTCGTGAGAGAAAAAACAGAAAGAAAGAGAGCTCAGCAGGGGCAACGCCAACTACCCAGGAGGCAACCAGTCAACCCCAAAGACTCTCATATAAACAGGCAACAGAGGGGATTAGAATTGGAGTTATACACACCAACTACCCCGAGGTCCTGCTGACAAACGACCAGATGGAAGCACTTCAGGAGTCCATCTTGTCTCTCGTCTGGAGTAAAGCACCGGAGGAAGGCCTACGGCCTAGATTCAACGCAGTCTACAGCAGGCAGGGCTACATGGTTCTGGTCTGCGCCAATGAGGAGACGGCTGCCTGGATAAGAACAAAAGGCAAAAGGATAAGCCTTGAGGGGGGGATAACCATAAAGGTTGTGTCTGAGGGAGACATTCCCAAGGCAAAAGTCCTAACGGTCTATTTCCCGAACAGCAGCCAATACACGACCCAGCACATCCTGTGGGCACTGAATGGGCAAAACAAAGACCTGCCAGCAGAGACTTGGAGGACTCTGAGCAGAGCTGAAGTCGAAGGAAATGCAGTGATTTTGGTCCTGTCCATCGACCCGAAGACGGCGGCCAGGATAACCAGGGACCGTCCACTGACTGTGACCTACAGATTCGGTACAGTCACGCTGAAGCTGAGGGGCAAGGGTCTAGAGGAGGGAGCTGGTCAAGCAGCTCCGGCACCTTGGCCTGAGCCCCCATCGTCCACTGTAACATCAAACACTGAAGGGGAGGCCGCCGTCCCTTCAGCGCAGTCCCGCCGTCCCCCCAGCGCAGCCACCAACTGCTCCGCCAGCGCAACCTCCTACGGCCACATCGGGAGCAAATTAAAACACACCACCCTCAACAACCACTTCCAGGGTGAGGTCAGTGGAGTCAAGGAGGGGCGAAGAAAGGTGAAGCCAAGACTCCCGGCAGTTTCCTATCTTCGATAGGAGAAACTCCCAGGAAAGGAGAGAGGAGAAGCACAGGGGTCCCTCAACGACCAGGAGGGAGCAGCACCGGCCAAGGAGCAGCTACCCTAGACAAGGGGGTCCTACCACCGAGACAGGAGGGGTAAGAGCGACCCCTCAGACAGGAAACGGGAATGAATGAAGTCCCGAATCATACAGGCCAACCTCCACCATGCCAAAGGTGCATCAGCAGCCCTGGGCAGGAGGTTTGCCACCAAAGGGCTCGACTTTGCCCTCCCTCAAGAACCCTGGGTAAGAAGAGGAACGATTGGAGGACTTCCAACCCAGGTGGGTAAGCTGGTATACGATAGGGGATCTGCTAACCCTAGGGCCTGTATCCCGATGAACCCTAACAATGTTTGCTTAGCTGTTTCAGGGTTCATCAGCCGTGACTTGGTTACAATCCAAGTCGACTTCGACTCCACTGCAGGGAGGCAAAAGGCTTTAGTAGCCTCAGCCTACTTCCCCAACCCAGGAGAAACTTGTCCTTCGGGGGCGGTAGTGCAGTTGGTGGAGTATGCTAGAAGCAAGAGGATGCCCCTAATCCTCGGCTGTGACGCAAATGCTCACCACACCATCTGGGGGAGTTCGGACACCAATGAAAGAGGTAAGGATCTCCTGGAATTTATATTTAAGGTTGACTTACAGATAGAAAATATAGGTAATGTACCAACCTTCAGAAATAGATTAAGAGAGGAAATCTTGGACCTCACCCTATTGTTAAACCTTGGTCACCTGGAAACAAAAGGATGGCACGTCTCTGATGAAGCCTCTCTATCTGACCACTGCCACATTAGGTTTGACTTAATAGCAAGCATCAAAAGCGCTGGGACTTAAAGGGCTCCTAAAACAACTGACTGGGTGGGATACAGGGAATCCCTCAAGGATGAAGTTGAAGACAAGGTGACCCAACTCATGATCATTGACGGCCTTGACATGAAGGCAGAACTGATAAACAGGTCAATGCTAACCGCCTACGAGGAAAAACTGTCCTATCAAAACCAAAAGGACAACAAGAAACGTGCCCTGGTGGAATGATAGGCTAAGCAAGATGAGATGTAAACTCCGGACACTCTTTAACACCACAAAAAGAACTAGGGATTGGGCTAACTACTCAAGAGCCCAACCCTAACGTACCCTAACGGAGTACAACTCAGAGATAAGGAAAAGTAAAAGGAAGACCTGGAGGCAGTTCTGTGAGGGGATTCAAAACCTACCAGAATCAGCTAGACTGCAAAAAGCCCTTCAGAGAGATGTGCCTAATCCGCTTGGCACATTAAAGCGGGAGGATAGGAGTCACACAACAGGAATGGAGGAGACTCTTGAAGTCCTCATGAACACCCACTTCCCAGGGAACACCCCACTAGGCATCTCAACAGGACAACACTTGATACCCTGGAATAGGAAATCGCCTAGGGATATTGCATTGGCTAGAAGATTTTCAAGTAAGCTGTTCAAGCCAGAGGTCGTGAAGTGGGCTGTTGAATCTTTCAGCCCTTTCAAGTCCCCAGGCGGGGACGGAATATTCCCAGCTCTCATCCAAGAAGGATTAGAGGTCCTTATAAATCATATGATAGCTTTGTTCAGGGGCAGCTTTGCCCTAGGTTACATCCCAATCTGTTGGAGGAAATCAAGGGTGGCTTTTCTACTGAAAAAAGGTAGAGACCAGGCCCAGCCTAAGTTCTACAGGCCAATCTGCCTGTCGTCTTTCATGTTAAAGACCATGGAAGAAGTGATAAACCGCCACATTATGGACGCATTTTTAGATATCAACCTCCTTAGTGTGAGCCAACATGCGTTCATGAAGGGTAAATTAACAACGATGGCCCTAAACACCCTAGTGGCAAAGATCGAGGAAACTCTAGAACACCAGGAATTCCTGGCAGGGGTCTTCATGGACATACAGGGTGCTTTTGACAAAGTGAGTTATAACTCTATAGATGCTGCAGTCAGAAGCAGGGGCATCTTCCCCGACGTAGCAGCTTGGATTAACGCTTTGCTCAAGAGCAGGGTGGTGACGGCAGAATTGGGCGGGTACTCGACAGCTATCATAGCTCGACAGGGATGCCCTCAAGGAGGAGTTATCTCGCCCTTGTTGTGGGCTCTTGTGGTGGACGATCTATTGAGAGAGGCTGATAGGAGAGATATGGACCTCCAAGCCTTTGCAGACGACCTAGTGCTGACTGTCAGAAGAAAACACGCAGCCACAGTGAACAACCTCACCCAGACAGCCGTTAGCTTCATTGGTGC